ATCCGAAACATCAGCTTTCCTGCTCCTCTGATGCTGCTTGGCCTGCTGTGTTCATCCAGCTCTACACCTTGTTATCTCAGATTCTCCAGCATTGGCAGTTCCCACTATCTCTGAAACAATTGAACAATGGATACTTCCAATGGAATTGTTAGTGGGAAGGAAGTTAAAATGAATGGACCAGTCTTAGAATACAACCTCAGGCCAAATAAAGGCTCTCAAAACCATGATAGGATCAAATAGCAAGAGAAATAGTATACAACACAAAGCAGCAGAGGTTTTACAACTCATGACTTGGAGCAAAGACTTTGTCAACCTTAAAATCAGAACAGGAGGTCTTGTTTGAGGATAGGAAATCAGCAGTCATAGTCAGAAAAACAGATTAACCAAAATCTTATATTGTCAGAACTTCTGAAGGGATACTCAGGAGGAACAGGAAAGTTTTGATCATAGTCGGACTGAGAAGAAAGACCAAGCATTATAGAATGTAGGCAGCCATCTTATATTTTATCAGATGTACATGGTGTCACAACAATTCCAGGTACGGGGTACAACACCATCACCCAAGTGTTGAACTGAAGTGAACGGAAATAATTCAAATTGGGTCTCCTTTGAGATATGGACTTTGAGGTGTTGGGGGTTGGGTGTTGGGATTTGTTGTTGATGATAATAGTGAAGATGGTAACAATGATGATGCTAATGTTAACAGAGACTGATAAGCAAGTAAAAGTAAACTACTGGACTAAGGACCAAGTAGAGAGAAACTCTTGGGGCAGTGGGACGTGGGAATTTGCAATATAATGAGATTCATGTAAAATGTGAAGATGTGACTGATGACATGGCTCTAATATCAATAGGAAAGAAGACAGTAGGCTATAATAAGCATGAGGTGAGATAGAGACGTCTTAGACATTACACTAGTGAGATGTGTTTGATCACCTGCAACATACAGATGTAAAGAAAGGAATGTTACAGTATATCAGGAGTGGGAAAGCCTTACTTAGAGATGGGAGCAAACAGTCTCAGGGACAATGTATGTGCAGATAGCCATAATATAGAGATACACAATTGGCATCTCAATGTGTAATTCAATGCTTGGGTTCAAGACAAAACAATGTTGACATGGAGACAAGACAAATTAAAAAACACTGATACACCGATGCTGCCCTAATTATAAGTCTGACGATGTGAAAATACCGAGTTAGAATGAAAATATACATCCACCAAATATACTTATGCATTATAAGCCTTTCAAAATGTCTAAGGGAAAAGCTAATCATTCCTGGAATTATTTAATTACACAGAAGGCTAAATGCTCCTTTGAGATTTAAAACAGCACAGCTCCTCGTCTGTTAGGTCTATCCTGGATCAAAATGGCATAACCGTGACATTTCCACATTCCTGGTTTCTGTCAAGGCAGGCTTTTCAGGTCTGTCCACCTCAAACGTACTGAAGACTAAGTTCTTCCAATCTGGGACATAGTTCTAATCCCTCAGAGCCATTGATCTTCCTCAATCGCAAATCCACAATAGGTGTGGCGCCATTAGTGTATTGGCTACTGTGACTTCATGTTTGGATGCCAGTCTGAGGTGGTTTGTTATTAAACAATTTCTTTAGCAAAAACATAACATCAGCCTTAAATCATTAGTTTCTCTCCCCTCCTATTTGGCAAGTTCTAAGTTTACTTGCAAGGTATTTACTTCCTCTGTTATTCACAGGTTGGTGCTTGGCTTCATGTGCTGTACTGTATTCTTGTCCATGTGGCTCAGTAACACCTCTACCACTGCTATGGTCATGCCGATTGCAGAAGCTGTGCTGCAACAGCTCATCAACACCAGCCTGGAATCTGATGTCGAATTAACTGTAATCACAGACACTGACAGCATAGAAGATGCCTACACTAGTTCTGACTCCCATAAATGTGGTGTGTATTAATTATCTATTATGAGCTTAATTGATAATAACTCACATTGATCACATGTTCAATGAATGTTCTGTCTCCCAACAAAATCTTGTTTCCTTCTATATTTTCTCCTCCTTACTTTTTGGTGGAGGGGATTAAATTATTTACATTGCACATACCTATTTGAAACACAAAAATACTTTGGCAATCCAGTAGGATGCCCTGGTTATAGGCTAATTGTTATTATTAATATGGCCATAACTATCACATTAAGGTCAATTTGGGCAAGTTAATTTCAACCCCATTTTCCTCCTTCCTTTCTTGAAAGCACTTGGGATAGAGCTCAAAGTGAACCTTCCGTGCAATAATTCTTCATGGATATTGATCATATAGTTGAGTGTCTTTGAGCATTTTGACTTTGACCAAATCGAATTTACATCTATCAACTCAGAAGTTTGCTACCTGGGGTGAGTGAATCGTGATCAGGCGGGGATAACTTGGCTGACTTGTTCCCTTTTCTTTCAGGTGTATTGATGTTATTGGCAGCAGCTCAGCTATAATCTCGGCTTACATAAATACAGACCAGGAATCAAATTTGACCTGGTTTAGTGCTACCATGCACAGTACCTTTAACTCAAAGTTGTTGAATCAGCCTTTTATTTTTGTCAAAGAAGATTGCTTTATTATGTGAGAGTTTCATTATCTGTCTCTTATTGCTTCCAGAAGATGAGAATGAGAAGAAACAGCTGGAACTAATCTATCTTAAAGAAAAGTAAGATTTATTATTTGCATGCAATCCAAAAAATATAGAATAGACTCCAGGAATGGTGCAGGTAAAGTGAGCTGGCTTAGAACGGCTTCTCTTGACCGTTTCCATTTATTTGTTCAGTTGATTTGACTATTAATTTAAATTAAGTTATTAAATATCTAGAATTGGCAATACTATGAATTCGTTCTTGGAGAAAATAAAATTAATCCTGGAATCTGTGAGTACTCAGTATAAATCCATTAATAAATGGTGCTGCTCACTTCCCAGTTTAAAATGAAAGGTTAACTCTTGAGGATGTTCTGATCATATCAACAGATTCTGAAGACAGAAGCAACAACATAGACCTGGTTTGTAGATAGAATGTACATAGTATAATGTCAATAAAGAATTGCTTTGAAAAATCCTCAGACTATCCACATCTCAACATTCTGTGAGATATCTCAACGGTAAACCAGTGATAAACCTTGTCACAAAGGATCAATCTTCTGAGTTAAGCAGGGTAGTACTCTTGATTTGCATTCTCATTTAGATCATCCAAAAGAAAAAGAATCACACTTTTGGCAATAATCAAAAACCTTCAGGTGTCTTCATGGTAGCAGGTGTCACGGGTCATTTCGGAAAGACAGACTGGATTTTATGGATTGTGGGGAAACCTACTGGAGTATCTGGAGTTATAAGTGATATTCATGAGGTGTAAATGGCTAGAGGGATAAGTTATGGTTTATGGGAATACAGAGGGATAAAGTGGAGTATATAAACATGAGGAATGATGCAGTAGAATACAGGCACATACACAGGCTTTACTAACTGTACACAAGAAATTTGAAGTGTTTGATATATTACATGGCATATGCTTTTCTTTCCTAACCATTGCTTGATTGGCTAATACTGGGTGCAGAGTACCCCTTGTCCCATTACCCCCTGACTGAATATAATCTCCACCACCAAATCCCAAATATTTCTAGGGTACCCATATCTATACACACATGGAACAAAGATCATAGTTCAGTGGTGGTACCAAGAAACTGTTTACATTGACTAGTATTGATATGAAATGAAGACCTGAAAGCATGAGATGTAGAATTGACTCAGTCACAAGAAATATGATTCACATTAGTATCCCTCAGCTGGGAGTTGAATCGTGAAGTGACATGTCCTATTCCTGTTCATATATTCATGTTATCTTTGAAATTAATATGTATCAGCTCTGTGCAATTCACACCCTTCCAATCTAAACAAGTGCCCTAGGCATATATACTGTATGACTAATCCAATTTTCTCAAGCAAATCAGTTGTGGAACAGGCAAAATGATTTCTTCTGTGCATTCATGCTCAGTCAGAAAATGTGCAATATATTGGAAGAATTATTGACTGAATTACCTGTAACTCAAAGCAATTCTTTATTTGCAGTTATGATCAGCAAAGTAGAGCTGAATGAGATCTCCATTGTCTCATTCGTCAGAAGTCATGAATCATGATTAGATGTTCTTTTGAGCTGGATATTGAGTGTCCTTCAGCCCACGTGAATCTGAAGGAAACAGAAATGGTTTGCTGGAATTATTTAAGCTTTATTTTATTTTCCTAGTGCAGCAAAGAAGAACCAACTTGACCAGAAAATGCTGACTGAACCAGAGGGGCAGGTTTGTAACATTATCTGATTTATAACATTATCACAGATCTTGTTTGGTTGCCGGCTGGATTCTGTTTCTTCCTGTTTTATGGCCCTGCTGTTTTCTTGCAGAAGTCTGATAATGATGTTTTATGGCTGTTTCATTACATGTGATGGTGGGACTGGATTAGCAGATAATTTCTGTTGTGTGTTCCCCATGCTATGGCTCTCACTTAAACATTTCTGTGGCCAGTAGTGGCTTGATGTACCCTGTACTGTTTTAAAGGGCAAAGTGAATCAGATATAAGGCAATTAGATATTTATATGCACTCATGAAATTTTGTTACAAGTTTTCTTATACAAACTGTCATGATCCCAACTGATGTTACTACCATTAGCTAATGATGGGATTTAAAGCTGGTCTCAGTATCGATGCCATGAAACTTTTGTCGATTGTTGTAAAAACCCAACTGGTTCACTAGCATCCTCCAATGAAGATTATCAGCGTTCCTTAACTGGTCTAATTTGTATGTGATTCCAGACTCACAGCAATAGGGTTAATATTTAGCTGACCTCTGAGAAGTCTCAGGAAGCCGCTCAGTTAAAGGAGAATTCAGGATGCTCAACAAACGATGGCTTTACTTCTGATGACAACATCCCACGAAAGAATAAAAAAGAAACTCTGTGGTAATGATCAGATAATGACAAGCATAAGGTAGTGATCATACTAAGTAAAACATAGTGATGTTCAAGTAATTGTCTGAAAATGAGGGAACATCACAATTAGTTACAGATGTGATAATGAACTAGGGAGATGTCACAATGAAAAAGGCCCTCACTCACAGTGAAGTTTGAATATGTATTGGCCTGATTTGTAGACAAAGTCAAACTAGATGGAGAGGAATTGAATATAATGAAGCAGCTAAGGAACTATAGGACTACAAATATCTTTACCATATATTTTACATTGGAAGATAAATATGGGAAACATATTCAATGAGTTGTATGGAATTGGCTAAAATAAGTCGAATATAATCAGCATGTTGAAAACTTTGACACTGCAGAGCAGTAAATAAAGCAAACAGAATTCTAGGCCAGTTTTAACTGATAAGGAGCGGGGTAGGGGGTGGTGGCTTCAGATTTTGGTGCAGACGGAGGCATTAAGTCCCCCAAAATACTAGCGTTTAAGAAAAATACATGATCCTGCTCGCTTCTGATTTAACTGACCCACACTTGGAAAAATGTGAGAAATCCTGGCGGTGGTGTAGGGTTCTAATTTAGAAATGTAAACAGCCAATGATGTCAATTTTAAAGCAGCATCCTGGCTTTGAAAGCTGGTGACAACTTGACCAAGCTTGGTGAATCTCAGCAGTGTCAGCAAACATAGGGAGACTTATTGTTCTAAAGTATTGACAAGCTGGAAAGATGTTAAGGGTTGTGTATGATCTGGCAATAGGACAAGGATTTGTGACAGTGCTGGCTGTTCAAATAAGGATATGAGGACGTTCTTAGAGAGAGAGGAATGAGTGGAACTGTATGGTGTGTTGACCTGAGCAGAACTGTGTAGCAAAACACTGATGAAGTCAGAGTTTGTGGATTGACACAAGCAGTATGCCACTCATCTTTCCTGCCCCTCTGAAGATTTAGATCCTTTTGAGGTGCTGTCTGCATGTTGGAGGGATCCACACTCCTGCTGATTACTTCCTGAACCACTTCTATCCTTACCTGTTTAGATTGAGAGACTGGTCTCTCCTGTCAAGGGGAAATAAATATTCATTGTGCATTCTCACCCCCTCCAGCCGGGCTTTCAGGGAAGAGGCCGAAAACGAGTGGGTACCCTTGCCAGGTTATGTTTCCATTCTGAAGTCTCTGGAACCTATGCAGAATGTAACCAAACTGACCCCTATCCCGGACCCTTTAAGTAGAAATCAACTATTGACATTGTCATTGCATGATGGGTTCATGTATGGGTCATCATTATATCTGCGCCATTATTGCTTCAGAAACATGGAAACAGTATGTCAAAGCCATTTCAGAGTTAAAGAGCCACAGCAAAGCTCATTCAGCGTTAAATTCAGCCCCGATCTGCTGTAAATTATTCTGCGAGTAGGTCTGTAAGATTAAAGTTCAGGTCAATATCCTGAGCTCATCATTTTTTAACTGCCTATTGTGCTTAACCCACACCCTCAATAGTATATTCATCAGCCATTAGCCCCCAGAGAGGAAAACATCTTCAGTCTTGGACACGGCGCAGAGAAGGGTCACAGGATTAGTTTGTTGGAGAAGCTATAAGTGGAGCCTTGCACCTCCAATACATAACATTTCTTGCTTTTTGAACCGGTGAAAATGGTCACAAATAAACAAACTAGAAAGCTATTGATTTTTTTTATCAGCTGTTTGTATGACCTGGTGACCCCATCAACCGTATAATCTTAAAACTCCCAATTATTCAGACTCAAACACTTCAATAGATCCAAAAGGTCGAGGCCTTGGTTTGATATAATATTTGTTCAACATCTACCCCTAACAACTGATACTGTTTATTGAGTAAACATCCACTGAAGCTGTGATCCAACTGAACCTGTGAAGAAGGATGATGGAAGAAGAGAAACTTGTCAACGGCAGTTTTAAAATTGCTGAGTGAATGGGGTTGAATTGGGTCAATCCTGCACCAGATTTAGCTCACTGCAGCCTACATTTTATGATGGTATATAAGATTTATTGTTCAATGCTTTACAAGTCAATGTAGCTAGAAGACACAAGAATAGAATGCGAACCTGGTTGAATTTGGAATAGAGAGGCATAGAAGGAGGAACTGATATGCAGACATTGTGACACAGTTTCCACGTATGATACACATTGTCTGATGATAGTTATTATTGCCCATACTTTATTTTAACACTGGCTGAGAATGTGTCATTTTGTTGCTTTAGTCTGATTGAAAGATTCAGATATATTTTGAAATGGACAGTGCTACTGGCCAAAGCTGCATTTGCTGCCAATGCAACAGCAGGGTTGGCACTCAACGCACATATAGTTCCAGTGTCTGTGACGTCACTACTTACCACCAGAAACTTGCAAAAACAAGATGTGGGAGAACATTGTGACATGTTCACTCTAGAAAACTGCATCAATAAACAAATTGAGGCAAACCCAATCCACTCATACTCACTAGTCTTTAAAAAGTGTAAACCTATAGTTTGTGCTGAAAGTATAGGAATTACAAAATTTAGTTGCAACAGCTGAGATGTAACTTGTATCATTTACACACCAAGACCAACAAGGGGTGGCAAACAAAACAACAAGTAAACAGAAAGGGGAGCAGAGAATAGGATGGCAAGGGGATTGGAGAATAGTGTAGCAAGGGAGACCAGAAAGGTGTGATGAGGGAAGAAGAGATGTGATGGTAAGAGGAGTCAGGAACATGATGGTAAGGGGAACAGAGGACAAGGTTGTGAACCTGGCAGCGAGAGACACAGCAACAGCAAATGCCCGACTTCCAGTCCCAGTGCAATGAGGACACAGAATGATGATGTCAATTGCACCAACTTCCTGATCCAGTACAATAACATAAGGCACAGTTCTCCGATTGTGATCTGCAGGGAAACAGTGTGGAAAAAGTGCCAGCGTACGCTTTCGTTTTTGCCTTGTCAGGATTTATGCCAGAAACGGTAGACTGAGAAGGAAATGATGCATATACTTAAATATCAGTGAAACAAGGTTTTACTCAGGCTTACAAAACAGCCATGTGTGAAGCAAATGCACTTAGTTTATAGTATCAGATGATCAAGGTTAAAGTACAGCTTTAAAGGAACCATTGTCATCAGAATAGGTTTGCTTGAGTTTTGTCTCTAGTTAACTATTTTGTTTAAAGGGTGCTGACTCAAGATTTAATCTTTTGAGGAAATGGATCAGGATTAGCATTGCAATTAATCAGAATTCCTGTCTCACTAAATTTCAGTTAGTGAATAAGGATTGGAGGAAAATTCAGCCTTGAGTTTCATCTGGATATTTTTGGACTGTGGAGATTTTGTGAGCAAGTTTAATCTTTCCTCACCACAAAATTTATGTTCGTTCAACCTTGTACTTCAAAAATGGTGACTGGGTGGATTATTTCTCAATGCCCTGTGACATCCGTAGCCTTCCACTGCCCATCTGACATTACCTAAACCAGCAACAAGCAGGAGTGAACAGGAAACCTTTCTGATCTGTTTGGATCACACTGTTTTGTGCTTTTCTACTGAGTCAATGGCAATCATTTTATCACACACACACAAATGTGTTGATTATAACCAACATATTGAATGGCACAGTTCTTTGCTTTTCATTCCCTTGCTCCATTGCTAGTGTGGGATTAAGTGCATAGCCCTTAGTGTATTACTACCAAAATCTGAAACTGATCTCAGCCAAAGTAGCAGGCACAATATTACAATTGATCAACTGTGCTGTGTCAGGAAGAAGAACATTATCCAGGCTTCCCATTATCATCACATAGTAGCATCCAATGACCTCCAGTGAAATACTCTATACCTATTGGATAAGGAGTAGGTGATCGCATGCATAAGTGGAGCAGTTTGCAGGCATACATGGATAATGGCTAAATAAAAACCAGAAGAACTGTGGATGCTGTAAATCAGAAACAAGCACAGAAATTGCTGAAAAAGCTCAGCAGCTTGGCAGCATCTGTTAATGTTTCAGGTCTGGTCACCCTTCTTCAGAACAGAGGAAGAAGTGTCACCGGACCCGAAATGTTTACTCTGATTTCTCTTTCACAGATGCTGCCAGACCTGCTGAGCTTCTCCAGCAATTTCTGTGTTTGTTATGGATACTGGCTACTTAGAAAAATGTGCTGTAGACTCCCATCACCTTCAGAACTGAATACAAGAAAGTTAACAGCATTTTTAAGAGACAAAGGGAGAAAATTGGGAAGAATATATTAAAATGATCACCTGCCTTATGTTGAGTGTCTCCCATTGACTTTGGCAGATACCCTGAAGCAGATTAGCCAACCTAACCTTTCAGGGTGAGCACAGAAGCCAGATGGACCAGCTGTACCAAAGAGAGGGAAAGAAAACTGCAGAGATTTCATTCCCTCAAATGAAGATGTTAACTTTTGTTTGACTAATTGCACTGTTAATAATTGGTTTGTTTGGTGAATACTAAATTGTGATGGGCAGGATATTCATGTGGGTGATTGGTTAGTTTAAAGTTTCACAGATATTTTCATGTTGTTTTTCCTCGATTTTCTACAGAACCAGATTAATCCCATTAAGGAATACAGCAGTAAATACAAAACCAAGCATGACCACATGATCTGCAAGTGTTTGTCACTGAGCATCACTTATGCTGCCACAATTGGAGGCCTCATGACCATCACTGGAACCTCAACCAACCTCATCTTTGCTGAACAATTCAACAAGTAAGGTCATCTTTTCTTAAGCTGTGGATCTGCTTCTCAATATGTCAGATTGGTACAAGAATAAACTGTTCCTCCAGAGCTAATTAAAAGGATGCTATTTTGCTTAAGGTGCGAAAAATAATGAAGACTCCAACTATCAATAGCATAAGTTATAAATACAGGTTGAAGTTGTTGTACATGTCTCATTTGGGCAAGTGATGTTTATGTAATCCAATGATGTTTTCATAACAATAAATGAAAGACTGAGCAGGCTCAAAAAGCTGAGTCTATTCCTCATCCTAATTTATATGTTTGTATGTTCATATGCCAAAAAAATGATCCAGGCAAATTACTCCCTGTGGTGAAAGAGTCAAATGCCAGGAGCCTCAGGATAAATGTTAGGAGGGTAGGAATAAGAAGGAAAGTCAGGTGGAATAACTTGATTGTTGTAAGTGCACTCAGTGCCTTGCTATGCTTAGGTTGGTGGTGAGATTAGTGCTGATCTGCCTGTTATCATTTAGTGCCAACCTCTTACTCTTACCTGATATCTGCTTGGTTTTATCTAACAGTCGCTACCCAGAATCACGATCTATCAACTTTGGAACATGGTTCGTATTTAGTTTTCCCATTGCCATCATCATGTTGGTATTGACATGGATCTGGATGCATTGGCTTTTCCTGGGATGCAAGTAAGTAAAGAAGCTGAAAAACCAAAGCAGTGGCCTCTTGCATTAGCACTAGGCAACTCTTCATGTTGGAGTTGATTTCCTGAGTTCTTGAGCACAGCCAGCTGCTCACCATTGTTTCAAGAAGTTCACTGATGTTCTATTTAGAAAGGACAAAAAAGTCGTATCCTCCCCAGACAGAAAGAAGAGCTATTTAGTTCTCTGGACTTTTATGTTCCCATTGGTGCAAGGAGCAAATCACAGATCACAAATAGTACTTAAAACACCCCTGTTCCTAATCCACTCAGGTTTATGAATTTAAAAGGCTCACAATGCAATGTCAAACATCCTATCCTGCATTTCAATGCCATATTACCAAGGATGTGCATTGATACTTTCATCATGCAATAATTGATAATTAGTGGCTGGTTGTTCCCCTGCAGTCTTAACTAATGACCACAGGATGGGACAATGGCTCCTGCAAGAAGTGTTTTGGAGCAGACTATAGGACTTCTCAAGTTCCATTCTATGTATCCAGATAAATCTGATACTGGCAATGCCAACGATAACCCTCAAGTCAGTGCTGCCATTCCTCCGACGCTTTGCATGAATATTCTTCCAACATCAGCAGTGCTAAACCTATGAGTATTAGTATTATTACATGGCATTGCAAATGCATAATAGCATTCATGTTTGTGGGCAGTCCTCACATTCCATCACTAACCTGCCAATGCAAGTCAGAAATCAACCCAAATGTACAAATTTATGATTTTCACCAGACGCACATATCAAAATTTGTGAGAGTGTGAGATTGTTTTTCTCTGAATTGGGAGGAGTTCAACACTGGAAGGATGTATTTTAAAAGTCTCCTCTCCTGCTGGGGTTTCTTGCCTGCTTGGGGCATGCATTGAAAATCACTGTGTGCACAGCCAACTTTTCGTAATAACTCAAAAATAGTGGGTAGGATGAGGCCAATTTATTGATTTGAATTCCTGCTGGGTTAATCCCTAGAAATGCAAACTCAGAAAGCTACATCGCACTTTGCAGAATCAAACATGTTTCAAGTGAACTTATTTATACCGAAGACAAATGAGACAGTATCACAAAAATAACATAATTACTATAAAACAATCTCTTATCTGCAATTGACAGAAGAAGAGAAGATATATTTTATTTCAGAAGCAAGGTCATAATATGAGAGAGTCATCATTAAATGAAATTCAGCAAAATGAGTTTTGTTATCTCAGCTAGCCATCTTAGATATGGTGTGAATTACAAATATGTTAAATATAATAGGTTTAGTATTTAATTTTCCTATTATGCCTTAGCAATGAGGAAGATTGCCCTGTATCATCATATATCAAACATTACAGAGTTTGCCTATAATCTTCTGCCAATTGAAAAACAGCCAATTCCTTGGATAGGCATCTGCTCTTGAGAAGATTCATCATTGCGAATGCTTACTTGGAAAACTTGGGCTATAGCATACAATCCAAGGAGATAATTTTGATTCCATTCATTTGTCTACTTTTTAAAATTACTCAAGGTCTCCGGACAAATTCTAACTCATGAATAACTGTTTCAATGTAATTTTGTAACGCCACTAGCTTCCTTATTCTACACAAAAAGGCTCTACATAAATTGGCAATGGAACTCAACCAGTCAAAACAAAGCGGTTGAATACATTCAGAGATAGTAAGAACTGCCGATGCTGGAGTCAGAGGTAACACAGTGAAGAGCTGGAGGAGCAGAACGGGCCAGGCAGCATTAGAGGAGCAGGAAAGTTGACATTTCGGGTCAGGACCCTTGGGTCATCTTTCCTGCTCTTCTGATGCTGGCCTGCTGTTTTCCTCTAGCTCCACACTGTGTTATCTTGGATGAATACATTGTCTTATGACATCACTTGTATAATTTTTCATTACAGTTTTAAGGAAACGTGTTCTCTTAGCAAGAAGAGGAAGACAAAACGCGAGGAAATGTCTGAAAGGAGAATTCAAGAAGAATATGAAAAATTGGGGCCATTCAGGTATACAATGCAATTTGTTTCTGTTAGGAAAGATAGAGGCTATTTCATAAACAAATTTCATACCAGTGAACTGAATATAATTCTCTTTTACTTTTTTGATATCTCAGCTATCCAGAAATGGTGACTGGAATTTTTTTTGTGTTGATGACATTATTATGGTTTACCCGGGAGCCAGGATTTGTCCCTGGATGGACATCACTCTTTGAGAGGTAAATCTAAAATTCCATAATACCCAGTTACCCTGTTATCCACGGGCCTGCACTTCATTATCAACACAATGACCCATCTCCAAATCCCACTGAAACACTGACCCATTTCCCAATCCCACTGGAACACTTACCCACCTACCAATCCCACTAGGACACTGACCCACCTCCCAATCCCACTGGAATACTGATCCACCTCCTAATCCCACTGGAACACTGACCCAAATCCCTACCCCACTGAAACACTCATCGACTTCCCAATCCATTTGTAACATTGACCCTCCTTCCAATAGCACTGGAACACTAATCCACTTCCAAATCCCACTGGAATACTGATCCATCATGTTTGGCAATTTTATGAGAGTTCTTTGAGAATGGAATGAACAACGTGGCTTGAGGGGAACTGACAGATGTAGTGTATTTGCATTTTCAAAAGATAGTTAGTTAAAAGCCACATAAAAGATTTCCATACGATTAAGACTTGTGGTGTTAATGGTTAAATGGTAGCACAGAGTGAAGTGGCTAACTAGCAGAAAACAGAGATTGAAGATCAATGGATTACTTCCAGGTTGGCAAACTGTAACAAATAGGATGCCACAGGTATCAGTGATAGAGCCTCAACTACTTACAATTTATTTCAATGGCTTTGATGGAGGGACCAATTATGTTGTAGCCAAATATGCTAACAGCACATAGATAGGTAGGACAGGACAGGATTCAGAAAGTCTGCAAAGGGATATAGATAGAGTAAGTGAATGTGTCAAGGAAATGGCACATGGAGTATAAAGTGCGAAATGTGAGGTTGAAATCTTGATAGGAAGAGTAGAAAATCTAAATTATGGCCTGGATTTTCCATTGATGAAACTGTTGTTATTCTAGTGTAGGTGGAAGTTACTCATGAAGACCCTGAGGAATCCCACTGTAACAGACTCTGAAGGAACTGCATGGAAATTGAAGATTCTGTTGGCCAATTCTGCTTTGTCTGAAACATAGAACATAGAGCATAGAACTGTACAGCACAGGAACGGGCCCTTCAGCCCATGATGTTGTGCCAAACATGACGCCAAATGAAACTAATCCCTTTTGCCTGCCATTGGTCCATATCCCTCCATTCCTTGCATATTCATGTGCTTATCTAAAAATCCCTTAAATGTCCCTATTGTAACTTGTGAATGTTTCTTTTGAAGCGAAGAATTTGGAGAGCTCCAGAGAAACAAATTAAAATAGTTATTCAGGGAAAGTTAGGTTATTAAATCCATAACCTAACTCCTGAGAAACTAAAAGCAAACCCTATATTTAGTTTGCATCCAAATACATCTTCCTCAGACCATTTACACCCTCCCCCACCCTGGGACCTGACCTCCCCACTTCGCTGCCTCTGTGCCTGACCCCCGAACCCCTTTCCCTCTCCCTGCCAACTGCCACGCTAACCCCTTTGTCCACACCAGATGCACCTTCCCCATTCCATTCTATTGGACCCAACTGCTCTAACTCGTACTGGAGGTGAACTTCACATTTTACCAGAACTTCCCCCTACCCCTGGAACGGAACTGAACAGAACACCCTGTCACTCGATGCTACAAAGCCCCAGCCACTATTTTTAGACATGACCTGACTCCCTGTGGCTAAATATAACCCATATATTCAAGTCTGTATTAGACAGATGTTTGATCTACAAAGGAGGCAAGGATTATAGGGTAAGGTAGGAAAGTTGGAGATATGGCCTCAGTCAGATTGGCTGTGATCTTATTCAATTGCAGAACAGATCTGGGGGGTTGAATGTCCTATTCCTGCTTCTACTTCTAATGTTCTTATTTTATCCCAGTCCCACTTCAACTAATCCGATTCTTCACCAACGTTTCATGTGTCTTATCTTAAGTAAGTTAAAACTTAATAGCTTATCAAATTTTATTGGTTATGGGAAAGCCATTCTTTGGACTGGCCATGATTTACATGAAATCTGTGAAATGTTCGTGACTAGGTGCCCCCTAATAATTTATTCATTTCTGTGACTTTCAGAAAAGGCTATAGGACAGATGCCACTGTTTCCATCTTCCTGGGGTTTCTTCTCTTCTTGATTCCTGCTAAGAAACCATCTTTCCCCTGTTATGGCAAAATGAATGGCGGTGAGTTATGATGGGCTGAGCAGCTGGCTTCTTTTCGTCCAAACAGATTTTTCTCTCCTTCATAGTCTAAGGATATGAAGGTCCATCATTAATATAATCATCTGTATCCTCGTTAAGATCAGATAACTCAGCACAGATTGAAGATTGAAGGGGAGGATCTTTTGAATCTCAAATGTTGCTTGTAATTATTGAGCCATTAAGTACCCTAAGTCCCAGTTCTTGAATCTGTCTCTCTGATAATTAGGTGGAGGAGTTCAGCATTTGCTGTTATCAATAATAGGAAGAGGAGCATCACTCAAAAACCTCTTACCATTTTCTAGCCTGTCCCTCCATTTAAGATAAAAAGGTTGACATTGCAGCAAGGTAGCTGATATTCTTACTAGATCTTGTGTTCAGAGGCTAAAGAATGTAATTTGAGCCATAGGCTTGTGAGGATGATGCTCTTCACCAGTTGAGAATAGTGATACTAGAAGACAGTAGTATTAGTCAGGGAGTGGGCACATCAGCAAATTAGATCTGTTGTTTGGCTCTTTTGGTCTAGAGAAAACCTTATTTGCAGCAGCCACTTAAATCTGGCAGCATGAACAGCTATGAGTTGTTAATGCTTTACCCAAAGGAGTGATAATATATCTTGCAGGAATGAACACATCCTTCTATAACCTATTTGTTCGAGCATTGAGCAGAGTTTTATTGCAAATCAGCAGGTGATTCAGCCATCACTGCTCATTTCCCGCTGCTTTTCCATGATTTATGTGTACAGTGGCACAGTTATTTTACAAAACTAGCAAATGATTTAAAAAAAATCAGGTAACTGAGCAAACTGAGGGTGTGGGTGTGTTTAATATTAGTCAGTGTCAGAGTCAGATATGCAAGTCCTTTTAAGGCTGTGACAGAGAGATAATTTGGAGATATTTCAAACCAACTATATAGAAATGTATTGACACACCTCTGGACTAGGTGGGACTTGAATCATATCGCCTGGGACACTACCACTGTGCTACAGTAATCCCAACACTGAGGAAGATCAGCTCCAGAATTGACTGAAGGCAAGTGAGACACATTGCCTTATTATTTGTGGTGCAATGGTAGTGCCTCTGCCTCTGAGCAAAGAGGCCCAGGTTCAAAACCCAGCTGCTCCAGAAATGTATAACAACATCTCTGAACAGATTGACTAGGAAATACAAAGACAAATGTGTTTTCAGGGATCTTGTGGCAAATTGGTATCGTCCTAGTGGAACTTTATTAGCACATTGGTGGTGTATGTACTTTAGAACCAGGTTCAAATCCCACCTGTTCCAGAGGTGTGACATATTATCTCTGAATAGATTAATTAGAAATATCCAATAAGATGAGTTCTACCACATCACCGAAATGCTCCCTATATTCTTCTGCATGGCGTGGGGTGGAGGGTGGGGGGTGGTTCCTGTATGGGCTGCTTCTTTTTTGCCTTTATCCCCCCACCTGGGCATAGCTTGGAATTTTGTTTTACTGTTGGGCAGCCGGCATCCTCAGTGGAATGGAATGACCTGGGTGCTGTATGCATCAGTCCCATGTAATCCCAAATTGCTGTGGCACATGGATTCCCAGCCCACCTGTTTATTTTGTGATGTTGCGGATCATGTGTAAGTTGGTGGTGGACGATTGCCTTCCATGTTTAGTTATTTAAAAAGCTTTCTGTTGCTCTTTTGGTTCATGTCAGCCCCGTGTTCCAGATCATCCACAACACTCTTGATGCTTTTAAAGAGAGGTGGAAACCTTGGGGCTTGGAAAGCACTATTTCCCCCTCTAACTCCATTTTTAATTTAGTCCCCTCCTTCTCTCCCTCCCCTCCTTTGACCCTTGTTATTTTACACCATCGCTGGCATGGAGGGCTTGATAATTGTTGTTTTAATTTATAACACAGATGAGTTGGTCATGGTACAAAAAATGCCTAGAGGTGTGTAATGGCATTTCTGAACAGAAAATAAAAATGAGTTCTACTACAGGTGATTAGATGGTGGTTTTAAAAAAAAATAGGTTCTACACTGCCACAGTGGGTAGAACTTGTTAATTGTTACAGTTTAGTTGTTTTAATTAGGTAATTTGGAGGAAAAAATTAATTTGGAAAAAGAAAGGTGAGTTCTTAATTTAATTAGGGATGTGGATGATTTGGTGGTTTAATTAAAAAAAAGATGAGTTCTTCCTGACTGCCTGCCCCTCCCTTGGTAAGCAGTGCTTGTTAATTGTTATTTGTTTAGTGGTTTAATTAAATGATTTGGTTTTGAGTCTTTTTCAGAATAAAAGAGCGGCGTTAAAGGGGGAAGAGGGAGAGCTGGAGTTGGTGGGATGTCAGTGAGTCTAGTACGAGTGATTCGGGGCCAGGTCTGTAGGGGTTAGACAGTGATTTTTCTGCTGTACATTTCCAGGATACCATTAAGGTTTGTATTGTCTGAAGTGTCTGATTCTAACTCAGAGTCAAAGTCTTTTGTGAAGGTCCTGACAACTGTGAATTACCCATCGGAAGTTCAAACCTCCTCAGCAGTTTCCACTGAGGTCAATGCATCTGGTAATTGGGGATCAGTGCTCATCAGCATTTGCAACCACCTTCAGTTGGAATGTCAAATGGGTGATTCACCTTAGCTCCTTCATTTTGTTTTGGTGCAGATGAGGAAAGTGCGAAAGACACAAAGAATCTGAATATCTCAAAGGACCCCAACCCACTGGCACCACTGATAAACTGGAAAGACTTTCAAAAGCACATGCCATGGGAGATTGTCATCCTTGTGGGAGGGGGCTATGCCTTGGCTGCAGGCTGCAAGGTAAAGTTAGTCAATGATTGGATTCAGAATATTCATGTGTTGTGTGTGTTATTAACTTTGACTTTTTGTTTACGGACAGGTACCATTCTCTAGAAAGATCTGAACCCCTTAACAGTTGCTTGATTACAGTAGTTCCTTCACATCATTGAAAATGTTCAAGTGATACAAAAGTTGTGTAGGTCACTTCACACTGATGAAACTAAAAGACATAACTGACTACCCTATTTAGAAAAAAAATGGACTGTCCTTACCCAGAAGGAAGAGAAAATGGGTTTGTCTCTTGATGGATTGACAGTACACTCTACTGGCTAAAGCGAGGGATTTAGAGAAATGACCTCTTAACCTCCAGTAGATTTGTCATTTCAACTGAAGAAGAATGTGTGGGGGAAATTAGTTTTCAGATCAGAACCCTCTCCCAGTAAAAATTACAAGCAACTGTATTGCACACATATTACTCGGGTGTTTGATACCATCATTGTGTTTTATCATTTCTTGAACAAAGGATTTTTAAATACAATCTGCAGTTTCCCTCTGTGTTCTTACATTTTAATTTTCTAACCAACCTATTTATGCATGCTACCACACATTCCTGAAGCAGATGAAACTTAAACCCAAGTGTCTAGGCTCAATAGCAGAGATACCACCACTACACCACAAGTGCCCCATGTACACACTTTATTGAATCTGTCTCTTTCTCTCCCCAGGTGTCTGGCTTATCTGATTGGATTGGGCGTCAGATGGAACCAATGAGTAACCTCCCTGCATGGGCTGTGACATTGATTGCTTGTCTTTTGGTGTCAGTTGTCACTGAATTTGCAAGTAATCCAGCTACCATCACAGTTTTCCTACCAATTCTTTCCACATTGGTAAGGAACCTTGTTCCTGACAGTGATAGAAGCAGGGACCATTTATGCTGTTGAAAAATTGTCAGCTTTTACTATGTGAAGGTTTCTCTAGTTACACTCTTTTCTGGACATAAAGACTGGAGGAGGTCATTGGCACTTTGAACCTATGCTGTTGTTCTGTTGGATTATGGCTCATCTACATCCATCTGACTTTTAGCAAGCCTAAAGGGAGAAATTCAGTTACAGTCCTAGACGAGTGCAGGAAGGAACTTAAACAATTAGAAGAGCAAAAAGGGGGTATAAAAAAGGACTTGCAAACAGGATTAGGGAGAATCATAAGATATTTTATAAATATATTAAAGGGAAGCAGTTAACCAGGGAAAGAATAGGGCCCATTAGAGACCAAGGGGCCAACCGGTGTGTGAACCTGCAGGATACTGGAAGGGTGTTGAATGGATACTTCTGTTCGGTCTTCAATCTGGAAAAGGAGAATCTAGGTACGGGATTTAAGAAAGGGGACTGTAAGGAGCTTGCAGTTTGATGTAGAAAATGGGGGAAGTATTGGAGGCTTTGTCAGGCTTAAAAACTGAGAAATCTCTGGCCCGGATGAACTGCACCCCAGGCTGGTGTGGGAGGCAAGGCAGGAAATTGCAGGGACTCTGACACAAATTTTTAATTCCTCTCTGCTCACGGGGGGAAGTACCTGAGGACTTTTAAGAAGGGTAGTAGAGATAAACCTGAAAATTACAAACTAGTGAGTCTCACATCAGTGGTAGGGAAACTACTGGAGGAAATTCTGAAGGAGCAAATTACTACCCATTTGGAAAGGTATGGGTTAATTTGGATAGTCAACATGACTTCCTCAGAGGGAGGTCATGCCTAACAAATTTGTTAGAACTTTTTGAAAATGTGATCAAGTGTGTGGATGAAGGAAGTTCAGTTGACATAGTTTATATGGATTTTAGCAAAACTTTTGACAAGGTCCCACATGGAGACTGATTGAGAAAGTTAAAAAACATTGAACTGAGGAAAACTTGGTGAGGTAGATCAGAAAATGGCCTAGTAATAGGATGAAAGGGTAGTGGTAGAAGGCTGTTTGAGTGACTGGAGGCTGATGACCATTGGCGCACCACAAGGATCAATACTGGGACCCTTATTGTTTGTTATATACATAAATGATATAGATGAAAATGCGGGGTTAATGTTAAGAAAATTTGCAGACGACATCAAGACTAGTACAGTGGCTAATAGTGAAGAAGATAGTTTTAGATTACAGGAAAATATAAATGAGTTTGTCAGATAGTATTTAACCCTGGTGACTGTGAGGTGATGCACTTTAGAAGAAGAAACAAGATGAGGGAGTATTTAATGAATGGCAGGACACTTGGTAGCTTAGAGGAACAGCAAGATTTTGGGGTAATTATTCATAGATCCCTGAAGTCAGCAGAGTATGTGAATACAATAGTTAAGAAGGCATATGGGACACTTGCTTTCATCAGTCATAGCATACAGTACAACAGTAAGGAAGTAATTCTGGAGTGTTGGTCAGGCCACAACTGGAGTACTGTGTATGATTCTGTTCACCTCACTACAGGAAAGATGTGATGTTGGGGGGATACAGAGGAAGTTCACTAGGATGTATCCTAGGATGGAGAAATTGAATAGAGAACAGTTGTTCCCCTTCGTTGAGAGGTCAGTCATGAGAGGGCATAGATTTAGGGTAAGAGGCAAGAGATTCAGAGGGGATTTGGGGAAGAAACGTTTTCACACAGAGGGTGGTGGGAATCTGGAGTGCAGTGTCTTAGAAGGTAGTGGAAACTGGAAAACTTACAACCTTCAAAAAAAGATATTTGGATGAACACTTCAAATGTTCTAACATTCAAGGATTTGGGACAAGTGCAGGAAATTGGGATTAGCGCAGTTTTAGTGGTAGCTATGTCAGTGTCGGCTTGATGGGCCGAAAGGCCTTTTCTGCGCTATATGAATCTATGAATCTACTTGATTCTGTAATTCATGACAGCTATTTGTAAAATGATCTCAGTTTTGATTTTTTTTTTAATTAACAAAAGCTCTATGAGGAGTGAGTTCCAAAGTTCCATGATGCTTTGTGTTGGGAAGTCCTTGAATGGAAAATGATAAGCAACGAAGTAAACTAATCAATGCCAGTATTGCCCTTTTAAATCTGAAACCTTATATCCCTGAATTTGATTTGGAAGTTCAGCCACATTCCTCTCACCTCAATTCAAGTGTACAAAATGCTATATTTCAACAGTGATTACCATTGAACATTCAGTCGAATTGTGTCAGACTATGAGACTGTTATGGATAATGGAGGCTAAGTCGGGAACCTTTCGCATTTGGGGTTCATGCACAATGAAGGAAGATTTTCTCTGTGTCAGGCTATAGTGAAATCATAAATCAGTTTGTTTCAAAGCATATTTTCTTTATCAGTACAGTAAGTACGTGGAAGCCTTTTGTCTTAATTTGCCATTGTAGAAGTTTCATTTGGCATTCAGCCTATACTGTATCTGCCTTAGAAATGCCTGAAGGAGTAGTATCATGGGAGATTTACCTTGCATTTAAATTCAGTTGTGTCATGCTTGTGAACATTTGATTGTTGTAAAATGTAGAAATCATTATATTCTCAGTGAGGACTCTTAAAAAAAATTAACAACTTAAAAAAGTAATTGTGGTTAATTTACATGGCCATCTAAATATCTATATGATGTTGCATAGGAACATTCTCAAAAGTGGATAATATATTATCAGGGTATAATTACAAATTTTCAGGGTGCTTTTGCCTGTCAAAAGCACTTTGCAACATATGTCTAAATGGCCTATAGACACAGGTAAACCTTAACTGGTTTTAGATTTAGCAGCAAGAATACCTAAGTATCAGTGTTAAAGTAGGGAATTTACCAGTGCAGAGTATCAAAAATCCTGATAAATTATCATGGCTAGGATGCCCTGCTGAAACAGAATCGGAGAGAATTATGGGCCTGGATATTTGCTCTGAAGGTGGGTAGTGAGAGTTGGGAAATCTGTTGGCTCACCCCCGCCACCTCAGGGGACTCGCCCAAATAGTATGATCTTCATTCTGGGGAGAGAGGGGAGGGTGTGTTTGTGGCTGCAGGATGGTGTTGGGACCGCTGCCCCTCCCACAAGTACAGATCGGAACTGGCCACATAGTTAACTGAGTGCTAAGCTGGTCTATTTAAAATACACGCCTTCCTTCTCTGGAACTTGGCCCCTGCATTTTTCTCATGTTTTAGTTCCTCTTTTCCCTCACCCCTTCATGACTGCAGAAATCCTGACAGTGAAGAAGTCTCTGACTCCATGAGAGATTTCCTGGTTTTCCACTTTTGGATACAATTCCCAAAGGCCCAACAATTGCATGTCAATGAGGTAGCGTTGCATTGTTATGAGCTTCTCACAGTCTGTACAAGGTATTTTCTCAGTTGTTCATATCCCTTGTGAAGTATACATTACTCTACACATAAACAGGAACTCATTGCTCAGGATACGTTACATTATGGTTAATATTTTCTCTCTGTTTTTTTCTGTTTTAGTCTGAAACTCTGCAGATTAATCCCTTGTACACATTGATACCAGCCACAATGTGTGTGTCCTTTGCTGTGATGCTGCCTGTTGGTAATCCACCGAATGCCATTGTCTTCAGCTATGGGCACTGCCAGATTCAGGACATGGTAAGGAATGTTGAGGGCTAAGTTTGACATGAGGGTGATCGATCTGCACATGTTGATTGGGGTTAGACCATTTGCTGAGGCCGGTTTTATCCAGTAATTTCAGCATCCAGTCCGTGTTGGTCATGCTGTTGACTAACTACCCACATTCACAGCTGGCCCATATCATGGATTTTCTTCACTGTATAAAGCTAGCCTCCACCTCTTGAACAGGAAATGCTTTGTGCTTATAGTAGGACCTGGAAATCATGCAGGAAGTGACTGAACTGTGAACCATTAAAGAATGACACAACATCAGAGAGAATGGGCAACAAAAGTTACAGGTACTGCATGGGATGTCCTGACAGAGGAGGTGAAAAGGAGAAGAGATGTCATGTATCTGTAAGGGATTGGAAGTGGTTGGAGAAGACAGTTGCTATAGTGAATAGCAGGAATCAAACACCGACTATGTGAATGTAATGCTGCAACCTGGTCAGTGAACTCATGGAAGTGATCAAGGTCAGTGAATGCATGTTCAAATGCTGTAGCCTCCCAATCATACTGCATATATCAATGGGTTTTTCACACTTAAACCACTCAAACATCAATCATCTCCATCAATTAAGAATATGTCTGACATTCATGTACTTCATCTCACTCACACACATTGAGCATTGCTGCACATGTCAGATCCACGTCCCTCATTTTTAACTCAATGTATGCAATTGAGCATGAACTCAGCAATATGTTGCATGCTTGGAGTACAAACTGGAGTAGTATATGATGGGCAGACAGCAGAGATTTCCTGGGAATGACCTCTGCCCTATCTTGTCTGCCTGCTAATTAAATGACCTTTATTTCTCTAGTCTCAGCAGCAAGACAGCTTTCCAACAGTAGTACTGAAGACTGGTGATCCAGAACTTGCTGCACCCTTACCCAAGTTGTTCCAGAGTAGTCACAACACTGCCATCTACTCAGCAATATGGAAAATTGCCCAAGTACGTTCTGTACGCAAAAAGCAGGACAAACCCAACCTGGTCAAGTACTGACCCACCAGGCTAATCTCAATCATCAGCAACGGATGGAAAGCAGCACTTTCTTAATAATACAATGTTCAATGATGCTCAGTTTGAGTTTTGCCAGGGCCATTCAGCTCCTGACTTCATTGCAACCTTGATTCAAGCCTGGACAAAATAACTGAATTCCAGAGGTGATGTGAGAGTGATGGTCCCTGACATCAAGATTCCATTTGACTGAGTGAGGCATGAATGCGCCCTAGCAAAACTGGAATCAATGGGTGTTGGGGGGAAAATCTGTCTGTTGGTTTGTATTGGACTTGGCACACAGGAAGATGGTTGTAGTTGCTGGAGGTCAGTCATCTCAGCTCCAGGATATCTCTACAGGAGTTCCTCTGGGTGTTGCCAGAGGCCCAATTTTCTTCAGCTGCTTCATCAATGACATTTCCTCCATCATAATGTCAGGAATGGGGATATTTGTCAATGATGGCACAAAGTTCAGCACCATTCGCAACTCCTCAGATAATGAAGTTCAAATGAAACAAGATCTGGACATTATCCAGCCTTGCGCTGACAAGTGGCAAATAACATTCATGCCACACAAATGTCTGGCAATGACCATCTACAATAAGTGACAATCTAACCACCACACCTCGACATTTAAAGGTATTACCATCACTGACTCTCCCACTATCAACATCCTGGGGGTATACATTGACCAGAAACTCAACTGGGGTTGCCACAAAAACAGAACTGCTCTTGTAGCCAGTCAGAGGGTAGGCATACTGCAGCAAGTAACTCACCACCTAATTCCCTGAAGCTTGTACACCATCTACAAGGCACAAGTCAGGAGTGTGATAGAATCCTCCCGACTTGGCTTGGTGGGTGCAGCTCCAACAACACTTAAAGCTTGACACCATCCACTCCATCCACCATTGATGCTTAGTAGCAGCAGTGTGTACTATCAACAAGATACACTGCAGAAATTCACCAATGTTCCTTAGACAGCACCTTCCAAACCCACAACCACATCCATCTAGAAGGATAAGGGCGGTAGATACGTGGGAACACCACCACTTGCAAGTTCCCCTCCAAGCCACTCACCATCCTGATTTGAAAATATATTGCCATTCCTTCTCTGTCAGTGGATCAAAATTCCTGGAATTCCCTCCTTAAGGGCATTGTTGGTCAAACTACAGCAATGTGGACTGCCCCAGTTTAACGAGGCAGCTCACCACCACCTTGTCAGGGGCAACTAGGGGCGGACAATAAATGCTGGCCAGCCTGGGATGTCCACGTCCCGTAAGTGATTAAATAATTAAAAAGAAACACATTCTAGGACCGATAGTCACTGCTGGTATTGAAAGTAGCTCCCAATGAAGAGGGGTCATACAGCAGAACACAGAGGCCACAAGACCTAGACTAGCAGGCTCCAGCATTTGCAGGCAGTGGAGGGAATGGGAGAACATCTTGAGGGCCTCCTTGAGCAAAGGGTGCCTGAACAGGGGCAGCTCAATACCTAGCCAGCTGAAAGCCTGCCAAGTTGCCATGTTGGCCTCAGCAACTGGTAGTGTTGGTAAAATGGCATTGGCAGTGAAAGATAGGCCTTAATTCGTCATTAATTGGTCATTCAAGGGCTATAATTTGCCCAAGGGCAAGTGGGCCACCTGACAACTCCCCTGCTGCAGGTAAAATACCAGCATCAATGGGTAGGCCAAATATACAGCACTACTGCGAAGGTGTCTGATTTAATGTACCCCTGTCTGTTAGTCTGATCCTGGCTGGGTTGGGGGAGAGGAGGGGTGTCCGCTGGGATAGGGGAAGACAGTTGCATATCAACCAACACTTTCCTTGCTATCATCAGTTCTGAGTAAGGGTCACTGGACCCTAAACGTTAAATCCCTTAATTTTATGCACCTCCATCAAATCCCCTCAGACTTCTTGTCTTTAAGGAAAACAAACCCAGCTTTTCTATGGTCGCATCCCTTCAGCCTTTTTATTAAATCTCTTTACAATGCTCTACAAAGCCTTCACATCCTGTGGTGCCCAGAATAGTCACAGAGGGGGTTAATCTTTTTATAATGGTCAGCAAAACCTTTTGACTTTTGTCCTTTCTGCCTCTATTTATAAAGACCATGAAAAGCTTAGGTTTCAGTATGAAACACGTAACAGTCACAACTTTATCAGACAATTACATATAACTTGGTTGATCATATTAAGGAACGAGTTCTACTTCTTTGAAAAATAATTTTCTCTGGGTCTACTTTTGATGTGTGAGGATTACACTTTGGTTTTCGGAGGCTCATGAAACATGGCCAACAACAATTTCTGTGACTCTATCATTGCAACTACTTACCTTTAGTTGGTTTTCTCCTACATTTGTTGCTGATGGGGTTTATTAGTGAGTGTTATCAGCAGCAAATGTGAGAGAGGAACAGCCTGTGATTAAAGGAGCAGCTCCTCACACATTCTGACGCAGTCTTTCTCTCTCATGTACAGGTTGACCTTGCTGTGATTAGATGATATTGAGAGAGGGGTGACCCTACCTGCGTTGGGGCCCTCCTGATGGCAAGGGCACCAGTGAATTCCACTGTATTCGTGCCCCTCTCCTGGGTCCTGCTTGTTTCTGATTGTAGAGATAAATCTCTTTCATTGAATCAGTGACCTCCCTTAAGCCATAATGAATAGCAAACCATTGGATGGTATAAATATTTTTAGCTACAACTTGGAAGGACTCAGGCACACACAAAGTTCACTATCAGAATATAGTCATTGCCCTCTTCCAAGGAGTGGTTGCGGCCACAGTAGGTAGCACATTTCAGCGGTGACATCCTTACTAAAGTGCAGACATTTCAGACATTGTTACTACTGAGGCTGAGATTGGAGCATTGACCCTGAATAGTCTAGGTTGGTATGGTCTTCTGTTGACAGCTCTTTGCCAATCTACCTTTTACTCCGTCTTTGAGCAGCTTGTGTTGTATTTTGTGAACCCTCTTCATTCTCCAACTCATATTATAAGAAATGCCTTCTAATGCATTCAGATCTGAGCAACTGGTTGTGCACAAGTGACTCAAAAAAATTTTAGCACGAGCCACACCATTCCCTATGCACCTTCACAATATAGAAAACATCAAGCAGACAGAAGAAATCACCAGCAACTAATCTGTAAGGAGTTGATGATCTCATTTAAGTTACATTGGTGAGGGGTCCTTGCTACTGTTGAACAGTTGCCAAGTTGTGTAACATTAGGAAAAAGCATTCACTAGAGTATTAGTCTTTAAAATGACATCAAATCAGTGCTGCATACCCTCACCAATGCTGAACCAAATCACTCCAAAAATGTCTATGTATAACACAAAGTTCATAAAGAGCACTCAGCATCCTTGGAAATTATCCCAACTTATCACCCATACTCCACAAACAGTGAAGAAGCACCAGGAAGATTGCGGAAGGAAAAAATCATAATCTTCCTTGATTTAAATGAACTGCAGTAAATTAATACAACAATGTGATTTTTTTTATTCTGGAGGAATCATGAGAAATTCTACAATTATGTTGAAGTCATTTTCAGGTATTAAAGAAGGCCTTCCAATTTAACTACATCCCATTGTTAGATGCACAGTGATCTGGACTTGGACAGTTAAAAGATGTCATGATTGATCGAAAATCACTTTCTGCTTATTATGCATACAATTTCCCCCTGCTCTGTACACACCACTGACACATGGCACTCAACTCATGCTCCTAACACCACCATGATTTGTACAGTTGTGGGTTTCTAATCAACACTGATTTTGGTTGTGACTTTTCATCTGTGTGGGCACATCCACCTGTACCAGCAATAAAGAAATTACTTTTAGGCTCTAGTCTCATTTAAATTTACCAGTTAAGTTGAAGTTAGTATTTAAGTGATGTCAACAGGCTGTTGGTTGCCTGGGTGCCTTGGTAGGGTTGGCAAAGGAGATGTTTGGAGGTGAAGAGTCATGTCAAGCTGTTCAGCAACATTTTCGTGGCTCAAGGAAAATCGACTCTTGTTCTGGCTCCACAAAAACTATTTTTGAAAAAAATGATTTCAAGATTATTTCATGATCAGAAGATCATGGATGGAGCCAGACCAGACTATACCACACCCACATGCAGTATTTCCACAAATTCTTTTCATCACATATCAATTCTGCGAATGGCGTCAGAAGGTGATCGCTGTGCCTGGTTCCTCAGATGTAGCCAAGCAGCTTGCAGAAACGGCACCCATGTACCCGTAGGATTTCAATCGGGGTCTGAACTACATCATTCAGGCCCTTTTTATGAGCTGGAAACCTAAACCCTGTACACTGACCACTCAGGACATCATCCTTTCAAAATTGCGTTGTCCAAAACATGAGTGTGAATGGAACAGTAAGTCAACAACCTTACTGAGGATCTTATTAATGCCAATTTCCCAAGTACAGATCAGCCCCATTGTTTACTCATGACACACAAGTGTTAAAAGCTAAAAATATCTTCCTAAGGGATCTTGTACTGTAGTGGCAGTGTCCCTACCTCTGAGCCAAGAAGCCCATATTCAAGGCCGTCCTGCTCCAGAGGTTGTGTAATAACATCTCTGAATTGGTTGATTGGAAAATATATTAAAGAATATACTACTGACTCCGTTTTTAATTTTAGGGGACAGTGGTAATGTTCCTTCCTCTGGGCCAGAAGGTAAAGCCAATTCAAATTCCAGCTGCTCCTGACCTATGCCATATCATTCCCGAATACTTTGTTTCAAAAAAAGCTGTGGCATGTAGATACCTCCCAGAGCAAAATAAAATGGATGTTGGAGATCTGAAATAAAATCAAAGTGTTGGAAATGCTCAGCAAGCCTGATACCATCTGCGAAGAGAGAACCAAAGTAATATTTGAGTCTGATATGACTTCTTCAGAAGACTGTGTTCCAAAGAAGAGTCATTGTCAGACTTGAAATGTTAGCTCTGTTTTTCTCTCCACAAGTACTGCCAGACCTGCTGAATTTGTCAGCATTTTCTATTTTTATTATCTTCCAGAATAACTGTTTCTTTTTATTGTTCATTCATGGGATGTGGATTTCACTGGCAAGGAGAACACTTGTTGCATATTCTTAATTACTGTTGAGAAGGTGGAAGTGAGCTGCCATCTTGAACCACTTCAGGCCACCTGGTGGGCACAATGCTGTTCGTGAGTTCTGGGATTTTACCCCGAGTCACTGATGGAACTGTGATTTAGTTCCAAACCAAAACAATATGTGACAGTGACTTGGAGGAGAACTTGCAGTTGGTGGTGTTCCCTTCCTTAGCTACCCTTGATTTTTCTCGATAGTAGCAATCACAGGCTCTGGAGGTGCTTGTGAAGAATTCAAGTCATATTTATGTGCATTACAGTTTGTCTCTGCAGTAAATGACTTGGCACAATTAAAAAATGAATGACAACCTATTCCATGTTCCTTCACAAAATTGTGTTTATCAACTTATGTGCCATTTGTGTGAAGGATGCTAGCAATTTCTCCACATGATACCCAGATATATTGAGGGTGAGTTCTGTAAACTTTCTCCCCAGTCACGGGCACTGCTTGCTGAGAGCACAGTTTGAAGAGAGTATTGTTGTAGCTGTTTTCCTGATGCACAATGTTTGAAACACATCTTCCTCACTAGGAGGACAGAATTAGTTCTCAGATATTTTTCCAAGATTGTACTGAGTCTGAAAGTCCTATTTCTGTGTTTGCAGGTGAAAGCTGGATTCGGAGTGAATGTGATCGGGGTGGTTGCTGTAATGCTGGCTATCACCACCTGGGGATTTCCTCTTTTCCAACTTGAACACTTCCCTGACTGGGTTTCTACTAGCAACACAACAAGAGGCCTTTAATCAGGAATCACAGAACAAGAGACACAATGAGACTGCACAAAAGACAGAAATAAGCCTGAAAATCACTTGATCAATGATGACCTATTTCAGCAGGGATAAGAATCATTATTCAGATTGCACACTACATTAAGGAGTGCAAATATAGTTTGCACAAACCCCTCCACCTCCTCTCATTTGGCAGCTTCAAACTTGGGAGCATTTGATAAATCCTTTTGAGGAGTGTTGCAGCTTTTTTTTTCACCTTTGGAAAAGTTTCTGGGATGTGGAATTTCAAAGCTTTTGCAAATTATGTTTTCAATCTCTAATTCTTTCAATGATGGTGACCCATGGAAAAATTCAGTTCTATCGGTTTTGGCTCCTTTCTTAAGTAATTATTTGTCACATATGGCCCAAAACAAGGGAGTTTGACTATATGAGACACAATGGTCATGAGTGGTCATGCTGCCTCCTCACTCAGTATTCTTTCCAAAAAGGATCATGTATTAGCAATCAGGACCATTAACCCTGGTTTTCCTTTCTAATCTTGGGGTACAGAGGCTGATTGCAACATTTCCCCTCTGCTCTTTACATAGGCTGGGGTTTGTATAAGAGACATTCCTGGTCAGTCTGATCCCTAGTATCACAGCTTACGACCCTTTTCAAAGCGTTATATTTTAGTCAAGGAACTGATGGCTTTGCAATGGATTAAACTGTTAATTTTATATAGTTTAAGAGCAGTGACTAGCATGGGAACATATCCCTGGAGTGATGTATAACTATGTGTATGTCAGCTTAACATACACATTAGAAACATTCCACTGCTGACCCGGGAATGTTTAACAATGAACCTGGATGCATAGTTCAGAAACATATCTCATAGAGCTACCACATGTTTAAACTACAGGTGGCTTCATCACACAGACTGAACTCTGGTTTAACACTGAGTTCAGATATCGTTCTTATTAAAACAGAAGTACTGTAAATGTCTCATTGTATGAATACTGCCTCGGGGTAAATTCAACTAGGGACAGTTCCTCTGAAAATCCTTCAGGATGCCAATAATGCTATGCCATAGCAGGTCCTCTATCTGCTGGAGAGTCAAGATTACAGTGTTTTTTTAAATGTTTTTAAGTCAGTCTTAAGAGAAAACTAATAAATATATAGAACAAGGTGCAATTGATATTGCTTGATTTAGTCATTAAATGAATTATGTCATCCTGCCTTGCCTTCTCTGTTTAGGATACCCTGCAATGAGAATATAATGATTTGAACTATTGAGCTCAAGTTGATACTGTAGGTTGGTTTTGACACAAGCTACTGACCTTTAGACACTGAAGATCACCTCTTTTTGATGGCTGTCAGAGTCAAATGAACTGAGTCTCAGCCTGTTCCCTTCAGGATCTAGTCCACAGTGCAAAACTGCCAGTCCTTTTGCAAAAAAGATTAATTTCACAATGAGGGATTGTCTGATGGGAATCCATTTGAGGGTGAAGCCAAGGCACATTATGAGGGCAAATGTGAGGTTATTTTACTCTACAGCTAACATGGCAAAATCTAAACTAGGGTTGTTGTTTGCAGACACTAAATTGGATGATTAAAATTGGAAATTGTTCTATTCTCCATTACTATATGCATCACCCCAAGCACAAATGTACATCAATTTAATACCAATGAAATGTAGATGCAAAATATAATAGTTTCAGGTCAAGTCACAACATGAACTTCATAATAGCAGAGAAGTGACCATGAATCTTATTGCTAAGACACAGTCAGAAAACAAGAAACAACTTCTCTCCACAGTCTCACAATTATCAACCCACTGTTGCTGAACAGTGGGAAAGTTGAGGAAGGAATATTAACTTCAAAAAGATTTAATATCACATTAAAAACCACTAACATTTAATATCACACTAAGAAACAGTAATAATAATCTGTAACTCGACAGAGAGCCAATAGATTACCTTTGTGCCAATGAGAATTTCAATGACAACCACAGCTGTAACTCAGTGCTAAAATGGCACAGTACATCTTTCTTGAATTTGATGTCCTATTATACATACTGCCCTTCACTTTTTAAAAATAATTTCTATGGTTAAACCTGTTCTGTGGAAATGCTGTCAGTTATTGGCAAAAGAGAAATATTGTATTTCTGCTTTTTTTGTATTCTTTTGCTTCTCAGATTATCATACTTAGAAACATTGGAGCAGTAGTAGGCTGTTCAGCCCGTTGGCCTGCTTCACAATTCAGCACGAATATGGCTAATGCCTTTTTCCCACGTTATCCCCTTATCCCTTAACATCATAGGTATTTAGAAATCTGTCAATCTCCACTTTAAACAGACTCAATAACTGAGTTTCCACAAATCCAAAGATTCACAACCCTCTGGGAAAAATAATTTCTCATCATTTTGGTCCTAAGTGGCTTGCCCTTATTTTAAAATTGTGTTTCCTGATTCCAAATTCTCCAACCAGAGCTAACATCTAACATTCCTTTAAGTATTTTGTAAGTTTCAACGAGAGCACCCCTTGATTCTTGAAAACTCTGAAGAATGCACGCAGTTTCCCCAATCTCTTTTCATAGGACAGTCATGCCATCTCAGGAACAAATCTGGTGAATCTTCCTTGCACTGTCTGTATGGCAATGTTATCTTTTCTAAGGTAAGGAAATCTAAACTGCATATGCTTCTCTAGTGCATTTCTAACCAAGTGTCTATACAATTTAAGAAATACTTCACTGCTCCTGAACACAAATTCTCTTGCAACAAAGGCTAATATACCATTAGCTTTTCTAATTGTTTGCTACATCTGAATATTAGCTTTCAATGACTTATTGACAAGGGCACACAAGTTCCTTTGCACATATGCATTTTTTAATCTCTTACCATTTAAGAAATACCCCGCTCATCTGTTCCTCCTACCAAAGTGGGTAATCTCACATTTTCTACGTGGTATTCTATCTTCCATGCTTTTGTCCACTTACTATATCTGTCCAAATCCACTTGAAGCCACTTGGCATCTTCTTCACAGCACACGTTCTCACCAAGCTTTGTTCCTGAGAATGGAAATGTTACATTTTGTTCCTGAATCCTAATCAACAACATATATTTTGAATAGCTGTAGCCCAAGTATTGATCCTTGCAGTACTCCCCTACTCAACAAACTGCTAATCCGAGAATGATTTTTTTTTATTTCAGCCTTCTGTTTTCTGCTCATTAATCAGTCCTTAAACCATGCCAGAACATTGTCTGCCATCCAATGAGCTTTAATTTTGTTAACAAACATCCTGTGGGGGATTATATCAAAAGACTTCTGAAAATCCAAATACACTATGTCCACCAACTCGCCTTTCTCAATTCTGTTTGTAACATCTTCAAGATAATGGTTGGTCAATCATGATTTCCCATTGACAAATCCATTCTGATTATACAAATCAGATAATTATTATGCAAGAGTCAATTTAACACATCCTCTATAATAAATTCTAGCATTTCTCCTACTTCGAATCTGAAGCTTACAGGTCTATAGCTCCCTGTTTTCTCATTCCCTTTTTTGAATACTGAAATTATAATCTGCAGGAGCTATTCCAGAATATGCAGAACTTTGGAAGATGAACAACAATGCATCCACTGTCTCCATAGCTACTTCTTTCAACACTTGAGATGTAAAATATCTCCTCCCAGAAGTTATTAACCTTTAGTCCTATCAATTTCTCCACATAGCCTTTTCTCTAATGTAATTTCTTTCAATTCCTCATTCTCCCTATTCTTTGGATCTCCAATTCTAGGAGATTCCTTGTATTTTCCTAAATGAAGACAGACATAAAGCAATAATAATATTCAGCTTCTTTGCCATTCATTTATTCCCGTTTTATAAATTCTGCCTGTAATGGATCCACATTTATCTTAGCCAGTTTCCTCTTTTCATTATCAACATGCTGCTCTAGAAAACCATCCCTGGCATGCTCCAGAAACTCATCTTCTACAAGACACTAGTGCTCATTAGGTCCATCCAGTCTATATGTAGATTGAAATCACCCATGATTACTATACTACCAATGCACGGTGCTTTACCATGCGTCCATATGACCGCAATTATTCAGAGGCCTATACACAACAATTACCAACATTAGGTCCTGTTTGCTGTTTTTAGCTCTATCTAAACAGATTCTGTACATTGTTCTACAAATCTGAAATCCTGAGATCCTCCTTTACTAATGTATGGATCCTATCTCTTACTGTCAGTGAAAATCCACCTCCTTTTCCTTTTTTGCCTGTCTTTCCTAAATGTTGAATATCTTGAATATTCAGTTGGTCTGGCAGCATCTGTGGAGAGAGAAAACAAAGTTAATGTTTCAAGGAGGTACAGTTCTGAAGAAGAGTCACTGGATTTGAAATGTTAGCTCAATTTCTCTCCACAGATGCATCTAGACTTATTGAGTTCTTTCAGCAATTTCTGTTTCCAGCATCTGCAGTTCTTTCCGTTATTTGAATATTCAGTTCCCAGATTTGTTCACCCTGCAGCCATGTCGTTGTAATGATGTCATGTTACATCATTACATTGTATCCATTTACCTATATTCGTGGCTTTATGTCATCTATCTATCTTGCTGCAACTGCTGAGTGCATTTATGTAGAGTTCCTTTCACTTTTTTTGAAGGTACGTCACATTCTAATTTATATCTAATTTAATATTCTAATCTTAGCTGCTGCATGCCCTTGTTTGGCTTGCCTTCTAATTTTCACTTGCCACTTTTCTACTTCCTGTTACCAGCTTTATCTCCTGTTTGAGCTACCCCTCACGTTCTCAAAACCTGAAAAGTCATTTTAAACCTCCTCAACAGCGCCAGCAAATTTCCCCGCAAGGATATCGGTTCCAGTGCAGTTAAGGTGTTAACCCATCCATCTTGTAAGGATCCCATCTCCTCCAGAATGAGTTCCATTTCGTCAGAAATTTGATGCCCTCCATTCTACCCCAATTCTAGAGCCACTTGTTCAATCAATCAGTTTTCATATTCTTATGTTCATTAACGTGTCGCACTGTGATTATTGCTTTTGAGGCTCTGCTTTTTAATTTACTTCTTAATTACATAAATCCTCCTTTCGGACCTCATCGCCCTCCCGTGTCACTTAAGAAAGAAACATAACTTTGTGATGCAAATTTAACGATACAGGTGAACTGATAGAATACTACAAACATGTATTCAGCAGCTGTCTGGTCAATACCATTTCACGTGAATCATCTAGTCAGATGCAGCACGCATAAATCCATCCTCAGCCACAGGCTGATAGAGACAAAAATCCAACTTAGCCAGTCAATATCACATGCTCATGAGTTAACCAAACAGCACTAGTGCCTTGATGATATAACTGGTCAGCACCATATCTACCTGGTCAGAGCATATCATACCTAGTCAGGTATGCTGACTAATTTCCATTCAACGCCAGTATAGCGATGACCATATCCCATGAGTGAATAAAAATAATTTTTAAAAACTGATCAGTGCCAGTACATCGATGAGTTATCCAATCAGTGTCAATACACTGCTGATATATCCAGTCAACCCTGATAAATCAGCTAGTTATGTGGTATGGATCAATACATTGGTGATTATTGAGTCAGCAATCAACACAACATTCTAATAGCTACGTCACTAAGTTATCCACTTGGCTCCAGTACATTGATGAGTTGTTAGACTGTACCCAGTCACTTGGGATATATCAGTGGAAATATCTGCTGTTTAGCTAAGCAACATCAATGATTTTCCACAGAGTGCTAGTATTCTATCTCCTAGCACAGGCTGAGAAGATTTTTCATTTAACTTTTCATTCTAATATACTTAATAACACATTTCTAGCCTATCATTCTATATTAAAATCACAAAGGATTATTTCAGATTCCGGCAATGTCCCAAAGTATTACAGTGGCTGATTATAATTTTATTAACCTCGGTGTATTGAAGACTCAGATCTAATTGGTACTAACCACATGACTTACTAAAAATGAAACATAGAGCAATATTTTATCTAGAGACAGCAACCCTCACTTTGAGCTCATTGCTTCCATTCTCTTGAGGATATCATGAGTAAGCCTGTCTTGTTTGACACCTTGGATCTCACTCATTGCAGTCACCACTATTTATGTGAAAAGTCCTGTGACTTGCAGTTTGGTTCACTGTGGTTCA